GTTCTGCTTCTTGAGATTTAATATGACACTCACTGTAAAATTGGAAGGAAACAGCAGAACTTTTAACACGTCAGTGGAAATCTACAGGGTAGGTAGAGTTCATAGATGGCACCTATATAATACCTAGTATCTATGTTCCCCCTTTTTTTCATGTTGATGGTTGGTGGACTCAATTTGTGGTTTATATACCTTGTGTGCTTTAAGTAATAAATGGCCAAATTGGTTATTTATTTCCTCATTTCTCTATCTGTGCATATGTCAAATTTAATTAGAAATTTATATTTTTCCTATGTAAGTTTGCATCTAAATATTGCATTAGCAGTTCTTTCTTGTATTCCTTAACCCTTATGCAGCACTTTCACAATGGTGCATTTTTCACCATAAGAGGGCCAGAAGGGTTGTAGACACATGGGAAAAGCAGTTCAGTAGTGCAACAGAGGATAAGAAAATATCATTCCTATTTCTATCAAATGATATCTTGCAAAACAGTAAGCGCAAAGGAGGAGATTATGTGCATGAGTTCTGGAGGGTTTTACACAGATCGTTGAAACATGTCTACGAAAATGGGGAGAAGAAGGAATGAAACTAGTGGCGAGACTAGTAAGTATTATCTTGTTTCACTATGATGAGATTAATTCTTCTGAGTGCAGCAGCTCCAAGAGTTGTTCTAGAGCCTTGTCCAAGAATGCAGGAGGACCTAAATGTTTTAGTACAATTAAAGTACTATAGTACCATTGAATCAATGGCCAATTCAGTTTAATTGTAGCAAACTATTGGAGTTATATGCTATTAGTTGCTTTATGTTATTCAAATATCCTTATTACTCTTCTGGCGCACTTTTCTGGATTCCAGATAGTACTTGTTTGCTCTGATGTCTTTTGAAGCTATGATCATGGTCATGTCCATGGTGCATTCGATTTTGGTATATATAATTGTATGTACAGAAATTGAGAGCTTAAACTAACTAGAACAGAATCAATTAGTAAAGCATTTAGCCTTTTAGTTTGTAGCCTAATTTCCTCCATTTCCAATAGTGTTGGGTTTAATGAATATCTTGTTTTCTTAAACACTGTCTTGCTTGGTAAGTTGCTACTCATCTGCCAGAAGCAGTGATTCAGGTTTTCTTCCACTGGTGTTTCTGATGTTATAAATATTTGGAAGGGTCGTTCAATTTTAATCATAGTTTTCTTGGTCCTTCATTAATACTGTGTAAAGAAATTTGCTGCAAAATCTGCCGGGATAATGTGCACCAATAGGACATGATACTTTATTGAAACTAGACTAAATACTGGATAACTGATGGCTAATTTGATTTGCTTCATTTTTTCTTGGAAATCCAGAATAAAAAGATTGTTTCTAACTTATCTTTTGGAATTACAGATAGGAATTTGGGATGAACGCAAAGTTTTTGGAACCTGTATTGAAAGTTTGAAAGACAGCATTTTTGGTGACAACCCTCCTATATTCGATAACAATGGGAATAAGAATAATTCAAATCCTAGCTCTAAGCCCTTAAATTCCAAAGTTGCAAGGAAGGATTCCAGTACAGTACTAAAAGTAAGTTGCTAGTTATCCTATATCACTCTCCTTTTTTGGTGAAAACATATTGAATTGGATATGAGAGTATTAACTTGTTGAATTCTTCTGTAGAAACTGACTGTTGGTGGTATGCCTGAAAAGATTGTGACTGCATACCAAGCTGTGCTTGATCAACATTTTGATGAAGACACAGCTTTGAACAAATGTAAGAGTACTGTTAGTGTTCTAGAAAAGATAAAGAAAAATATAGACGATGCTAGTACCAAAGGTAAGGATTTATCTTGCTCACTAGTTATTAACATTGTGGATATCTGCTGTGGAAGAAAGTTTGACACCATTCTTATCTGTTCTGCTTTTTTTTTGGTCTGCATGGTTTTTCATAAGGTGATCAGCCTGCCTCAACAATGATTTCTGATCTTCAAGAACAGGAAACTATCCTGAAGCAGTGCATTTCACAACTTGAAAGTGTAGATGTGGCGAGGATATCGCTGATAAATCAATTAAAAGAAGCTCTCATTGAACAGGTCTTATGCACACTTTCATTATCTTTCAAATGTTCCATCTCAGTTACATATGACTCATGCTTTTCAAAATTGTCTTTCTTATTTCTATAACAGGAGTCAAAGTCAGAAATTCTTCGCAGCCAGTTGCAAGTAAGAATTATTCTTTATGCCCTATTGCATGTTGGCTTTTCATCTGTTATTGTTCCTTGCAATCATGTCCGTCCACAGCTATGAAAGTGGGTACTATTAGAGGATATGTGTAGAACTTCAAGTGGAGAGACCTAATCCGTTCATTCCCAACTGAATTCTTGTTTTCATAAATGGCACCTGCACTAGTAAGCCATGAGCATGTGTGTTGTCTGAGCCATCTAGCACCTTTATGGCACAAGTATGTCTCTTGCCAGTTCTGATTCCTACCTGGCCAAACCCATGTTCACTTAAAACTATTTATTAATTCCACTGCTCACTTGAACTATTTATTTATTGATTACAACTTTAAGTCTGTTATGTTGAGAAAACCCACCTAGAGTTCTTCCTTAGCACCTTGAGATTAAGCCTGTTATATTGAAAAAGCCCACCTAAACTGCTTCCATAGCAACTTGAGATGTTTGATCACCTTTCAGAGTGGTCTTCACCTCCTTCTAGTCTGGCCTTTGCATTTCTCTGTTTTGTGCCTTGGGTGATGCCAACATGCATGTCTTGATTCCAGTTGCTGCTTCTCAATTAGCTCCTTTCTTTTTTTTTCTGAAATTTATTTATGGTGTAATAATCTTTTAGCTGTCTTATGACATTATTGGTAATCCCTTATCTGATTGCCATAACAGGTTGCTCGAGCAGAGGCTGAACATGCCATTCAACTTAGGCAAAGATTTGATGGTGCCGTTGTCGCAAATGGCACAGGATCTAGTTCTAGTCTGCTAATGATTACCCCAACAGAACAAACAGCTGCTATGATACAGGGTTCTGGAGTAAGGCAGATGTCTCCCCAGTTACAGTCACTGAATCCAGCAACCTCACTTGCCCCTACAGTCAGTGCAGTGGGAGATGAGCCCAAGAGAACGGCAGCAGCAATGGCAGATAAGCTGGCATCTTTGTCAGCACCTGTGCAGGTTCTGAGCTCCATTTTATCATCTTTTGTTGCTGAACATGGCGCTTCACTATCTTCCATGAATAGTGGATCGCCTTCTGGAGAACTCTCTGGAGGACTGCCGGGCTTCCAGATTGAAAAGAGGCCTAGGCTTGAGAAAACCGCACAGGGCAGTGACATGGGTGCTCCTCCCTTTTCTGTGCAAGTGCCACAGATGCAACAACAGATTGGAGCAGTGCCCACGCAACTACCAGCGCAGATCAACCAAGTACCAGGTCCATTTGCACCACCTCCACCGCCATTTTTGCCACCGCTTCTGCAACAATTTGGTCAAAGTACTGGAGGAATGATGGGAATGGGACCTTTCGGGATGACGGCCGGCTCTATGCCACCTCCGCCTCCAATGTCCAACATTATGCCGGCAGGTTTTCCAGGACCAAGTGGTCCACCACCTCCACCTCGGCTTCCACCGGCTCAGAACCAACCCCAGCAGCAGCAGCAGTCTCCTCAGGCACCACAGCAATCACCCACATCAGCAGGATTCTTCCAATCATCAGCAGGCATGGGGTTCTTCCCACCAGTGCAGGTGCAGCAGTCTCCGTCTGCCCAACGACAATGACTCGATGGTGGCATGGCATTCATCGGGCTATAAAGGCAGCACCTTGTGCTAACTTTTGTACATTAAAGAATAATCACCTAGTATCGAACTTATACGTGACTGGCCCTGCAAGAGAGGCAGGACCGTTGTTACGGTTAGAAAAATTGTAGAATAGGCATGAGGCTTTTGTGATGACTCCTTGGTTTGGTCTGAGCTGTTTAACTCTTCCTGGTTCTGTGTAGTAGTTAGACTTGTCTTCCCCCCCCCATTTGCATTGATCCCCTGAGGCAAAAGAAAGTGGCACTGGAATTGTTGCTTAAGAGTTGCCCTCTGACATAACGGTTTTAGGGCTGGGCTGATGCCGTTTTATTACTTACTGGTCATAGTGTCATAGATATGATGTGAACTGCAAATACTTCTCCTGTTGTTGTTTAAATTTATTTATTTATATTTATTATTATTATTTTTTAGTATAGCTTCCCTTTTGGGTGCAAATTGCTGCTTTCCTTTGACTTGGCAGTTATTAGACAAGGGCCAGTTTGGATCAAGTGCTGTGATTCAGAAATCAACAGACTTGAGTTGTGTGAATAAAACCATGCGTGTATGGTCTGCTGAGGTAAAAGATTCCTTTGATGTAAGTTATGCATTGTGAAATGGGACAGCAGTATTTGGTCCAATATGAGAAGATTGTGTAGATGAGAAGCATATATAACAGTACATGATAACCAAAGCCTTGTCACAGCTGAGGATATGGCAGCAAGCAAGGAACTGGCAGCAGTGGAGTAGGTAGAAATTGACACATTTGTCTCCCAAATTCAATCTTCCGGTGGAGTTATCGCACATCATTTATGTGATGTTTTTTATTTAAAAATAATGGTAACATATGTTCAACTTCATATTCTTGATGCTTCTGCGGTTCTGCAGGTAAACATTCACTGCATTTTTATTATAGTAGCACACATTTATGTATGGGCTCTTGGCAGTGTAAGGGTCATGACTTTTGCCACATTATTATTACATATAAGTTTGTACATAGAACAACACCGACAATAACGACTCCATCCAAATATTTACAAATTACAATCATTCAACACGAACAACACAACATATTTAAGAGAGTGCGCAGGGAACACACAATACACCATACACAGTGGCCATATACAAGCATGTAGCTCATAGGAACGATGGCATGTTAATCTATATATAATACTTGCATGGCTGCGGTGGGTGCCAATTTTACCTTACCATGACTCATGCGAATATCATCCACCATTCAGACATCATCATTTTCTTCATGAACATCATTATTCTCTTTCTTAAGATCAACCACGATCCTTGTTTTTTGAGAACGTTTCTTGTCATTACCCAGGTCAATATCATGATAACAACCTGTGAATGGGGAGTGAATTTCCAACTCTTTGAGCTCAGGAACCATGCTCACCTCAACTTCAACAATCTCCAGCACTTCCACGTCAATCATCTTGATCTTTTTGAGGCGTGGAAATTTGGATGAAGCAAATACAAGTTTCTTGTCCTTGTACGAGCCAGGGTACAATGCAAGGATGGCAAGAAATGGCAGCTGAGACAGCTTGCTAATAAATTCCTGAGTCACATATGTTTTCTCCAGAGAAAGCATGATGAGATTAGGGAGACAAAAGGATTCACTACCATCTAGATCAGATGAATGTACCAGATCCCCACTTAGGAACATAAACTTGACACGTCGGAGGGAAGCGGTGGTGAAGACATTTGAAGGAATAATTTTACCTTCTAAGATCAGGGTCCTAAGGCTCTCAAGTTTGTCTAGAGCACCAGAAAGAGCTTTCACATTGACATGTGAGATATGCCAGATTGACAAGAACTCAAGATGGATCATCTCTCCTAGTGTCCTTTCCAAAGTCAGCTTCTCCGAAACTTCTTCAAGATCTATGGAGTCAAGTGTATGCAGCTGCTTCAAGTTGCCAATTTGCTTGGGCAGTCTGAGGACAAAACCAAGGACATGTCTCAGGGTCTTAATCATCCAAAAGGACCTTGGGAGCTCTCGGACATTAGTTTCCCTCACATCCAATGTTTGGAGGCTAGTGAGTCTTCCGATGGACCGTGGGATATGTTTCAGTGAACATGATGTGATGCCAAGGTACTGCAAGTGCACAACATTGCCAATTGCACTTGTCAAAGTCTCACCAATCTCAATGCCTTGCAGATTGATGACACGGAGAAACTCAGATCCATGAAACAGTTCCTTGATGTGAGATCTGATGTCTTTCTTCATCTTAGAGATTGCCCTTCGTTGAGATAAATGAAACATATATGCCCGACTTCCTTTGGACCTGTGCCCCTGATCACCTTTATTAGGCTCTTGCTCATACTGAGAGAAGATGGATCGTAGCTTTGGCAATGGATGGGCTAGGACAGCATATTTGTCAGTGTAGTTCTGCAGAGAGAGGCGGCGAGCACTAGTTAATGTAGGGATATCATCATGGCTATGGACCTCCACGAAGCTTGCTTCATGTGCTTCTATCTGCAAAAAGTCATGGACTTTGTTTTGGATTGTGACCGACATACTCCCAAAACTGGAATCATCATCCATTTTCACTCGGTTGACAAGATTCCGATTAATCAACTCAGATAGGTAGATGTAGCCAATCTTCTCCATTGTCTTCCCGCCCTTTGAACTTAGAAATCCTCTCGCAACCCACATAAATACCAAGTCTGCGTGCCTCAATTGTAGTGTTGGTTGGCAATGCAAACAAAGTAGAGGAAGCAACATTTTAGCTCATGTGGAAGATCATCAAAGCAAACCGACAAAGATGCTTTCAAGATTCATTGATGGCTTGGACTTAAGGTAGTGAAAACCTTCACCCAATCACTTGGGAACACCTTGGTTTGCACAAGACCGATAAAAGAACAACCGCCAAAGGTAACCCTTGGGTGATTTTGAAAATACTCTTTTGGTACTTCTTAAGGTTTTTATCTTGCAGTTCCTTAGGTAGCCTCTCGTGAAACAATGACATGGAAGCATCTTCGTAAGTTTTTTAACTGAATGGTGACATGATGGTAGCTGCTAGGTGGCTCTTACGGTTTACCTTGTGTGATATGCACTACTCTACTACCCCTAGGCCCAACCGGGATGCTAGTCAAAAGTGCTTCCATTCAAGTACCATTGACTTCACCATCTATCACGAAAGGTACTTCTTATTTTTCAATTTTTTTTGCAGCATCTCTGTGCCAATTCTTTAGGGCAATTCGTGTGTCGTCTTCATCGGATTTGTTGAGTAATTTGTTGAAGGATGTTGGGAGCAGTCAAATAAGGCGCAAAACTTTCCATGGCTTGCACTTCAAACACTTTCTTCTTTTCCATTTTTTTGTATATGTCTCTCACAAGAGTTGTCTTGCCAATACCACTTTCTCCGGACACAGTGATCATGACTGGATAGTGTTCTTTGCCCTCTTGGTGTTCAGTTAAGTTATTAACAAGGGCTTCCTCTAATTGGTTGTGCTCCTCCACATATATCACCGCATCTGAATCGTGGACATCATCCCTGAGATTCAACCATTGTATAGTGGTTAGTCCTAGTAAGTTTAGTCTAAAGAGTAAGTTGACAATCAAACATAGTGCCAAATACAATCTATCCATTGCCCATCGATATTTCTTAAGAAAAAATGAAAATCATTTTCCACTTCTTTCAGTCAATATATGCCTCGATCAGCCAAAGTTACTCTGTAAATAAAAGCGAGAAGGGATACCACTTATAACACTACATGCACAATACAGAGGCATGCATCTTAAGACTGCCGTCACACTACCTCTATAAATCGATTTACAGAGGTAGCATAGGTCCTTGGACCCATTGAATGGAAGTTAAGCCCTACCTATGAATAAATTAATGAAGGACTCTCCGAAAATCCTTTTTTAGTAGCGATGGGCTGCCTTTAAGAACCCATGTGTTGGCGCAAAAGTTGAGTACGCATCAATGTATGGATATATCATAACCGACGAACTCGTGGCTCTTCCTGTAGAAACTGAACCCTCCTTTTTTATGAAACTGGACTATTCAATTTTCACTTATAATCGTAAAAATCTGCGAACAATTACCCTGAAAGGGACTACGTACGTTGTGGCTACCACAACTAGGGCTGGTCTAGGGTCAGTAGTATTGCCACCTAGAACACCTGAAGTCGTCTTTGAGATAACTAGCATGTATATCTCTTCATGTTCCAAAATTGAGAATGGGTTTAGTTGCTTAAATTCAAAAGGTTAATCAAAGAGTTTTGTTAAAAATATTAAAATATAAAACAAGTTTGATTCATTTTAGTTTATAATAATTTTGTATCTATTTTTGTTAATTTGTGTTTCTTTCTGTTAAAATAAAAGAGCTCTCTTGTTTCGTAGTTGATTGATTGAATTCCAAATAAAACCAATGTTTATAGGAAATTCTCAAATATCACTTACTTCATATAAAAGGAAATCCTAATGACTTGAATTCTCTAAGTTTTAGAATGTCTTGTTTAAGAGACTAAGTATTTTTTTAATGGGAATTGAATTATGGAATAGCCTTCTAAACTTAATTAACTATTTGTTCTCGATAGGCCCCTCTTAGTCTTCTTTTCCAATCTTGGATTAGGGAATGAAGGAGATATTCACGACTACTGGCATCTTCATTATGCACCAACTCATGATCTTCATATCGATATATTATCCACCTCTGCGTCTATTCTTTCTTAGCAAAATAGGTGGAAGATCCATCCAATGTAGTGATATCATGGACTCAAAAAATAGATCTGAATGTGACTAAAATACACGATCTTCACATGTATCACTTTTCATGATACCTTAACCTAAAAGGTGGAATATTGATTTTTGAACCATTTCCTATAAGAGAATGACTCCATTACTTTGAGAAATGGATTCTATATCAATAGGAAGCATACCTTATCCAACTAAGAAAGAAAATCGACCATATAACCCTACCCCCAAGCTAAATAAGGCATGTAGGGTCCCTAGGTCAGGACTGAGCCAATAGAGGCCACAAAACATCCACATCTACATACGAAAACAAGCAATATAAACCACCAAACACAAGACATAAGGTATTACCATTCTGAGGGCCCGAACGTGTCTAAATTTGTGTCTTTTGTGTTACTATCTAGCTCTAGATCCAAAGCATATATAACCAACCTAATAATTATTGGGCATACCCTCATATGTTCATTATTACTGGTAATTGCCAACTATAATGGTAGAAAAAAAGGTACATGTAGGTAGTTTTGCTATTATTCATGTTATACAAAAGATATCCTTAGACAAAGAAATATTCCTAAATATTCTAAAAAGTATGATCCAAACTATTTCACTTGGAACTCCATGTATAACATATCTCCCCTTAACCCAACTATAAAAGAATTAGGTGGGGTGCATTACAGGGAGGTCACAGTTAGATTGCAAAAAAGACTAGAAGCTAGCCGACAAGACACCATATCATATCCAAATCAAGAACCTTCTGACTACTACACATTTAGGACTTTACATGAGGTCATATGATTAGATCTAAAACATACATGTTGCAATAATCTTCTTTTGATATAATGAAGAAAAATACTAGATGTAGGGATATTACCACTTGGGAATCCTAAATCTACATAACTTATTGTGTTTTCATGTTCGATACACTATTTTGGTGACAAGAAATCCCTACTTAATAAATATTTTGCATTGTAAACTTTTTAATCATTGACACTTTCTAAGACTTGAAATCTTATATTTGAAACAGAAGAATCATATTTTTGAATTCTTGAAGTTTCAACTTTAAAATGAACTAAAACAATTGAGAGAATTCCTTATTTGACACTGGGAAAATGAGTCGTTCCTTTCTTGGCCCTGAAATTTTCTTCGTTCCCTATTTGACACTCACTTCAACTTTCATCCCTAATTCGACACTACCGTCAAATCCGTTAGCTAACGGTGTTAACCGGCTGTTAAAAAGACGTTTTTGCCCCTAGAAAAAAAAGCGGCGAAGCAAATTTGAGAGAAAAAAAAACCTGCGCCTTTTTTTGCAGCTGGGCGCATGCATCAGAGGCGGGCGCAGGTTTTTTTTTCCTCTCAAATTTGCTTCGCCACTTTTTTTCTAGGGGCAAAAACGTCTTTTTAACAGCCAGTTAACACCGTTAGCTAACGGATTTGACGGTAGTGTCAAATTAGGGATGAAAGTTGAAGTGAGTGTCAAATAGGGAACGAAGAAAATTTCAGAGCCAAGAAAGGAATGACTCATTTTCCCAGTGTCAAATAAGGAATTCTCTCAAAACAATTAGTCTAACATCTCTAAAACTTGAATCATGTTAGAGTTCTCAAAACTCATTAATGTTCTAAAAGTATAGTTAAGTCTTTCCTTTATAAGAAAACTGTTGCTGCGCATGCACCAAAGAACAATTGTTTCCTCTTGCAGTTACAATGGTGACATTTCTCGTAATACCCTCCTCCCCACATGGCATACCACAATCTCATACTCACGGATGCTACTATCACATGCCTACAAATAAACTCCTAAAACCATTCAATTTCAACCATAGTGGTTAAGTCACACCCTCACAACTCAACCACCACACAAGAATTAGGTTGTTACCACCTAAGGGCAAGTACATTGGTGATTAGTACACGTAAGCAGTCTTATATATATGTTGTCTCATCCAATGCTAGGGCTGGGCATTCGGTTTACAATTCCGTTTTGGTTCGGTTTCTCGGCTTTTTGAAGAAATTCGGTGTTGACAGTCAATATTGATGATTATAAACCGTCAATTTACCTTTAATTCATTCTTAAAATTAATCACCAACATAGGTGTAGTGATTTAAATTAACTATTTTCACGAGTTTTGGTGATTTTATAATTACATGTGAATTTACTCAGAAAATAAGATAAAGCAGGCCATAATATCACAAGAGATCAGATCCAATCGCGACGAAACCAACTCTACTGGCCCCAAACCATCCCCTTCATGGGACAGAGATAAAATTCCACGTGGACGGGGCCATGGTGGGGTCGACTGACCCCACCTATAGGTCGGGCGACCCCCTTGGACCCACTTGTTGGTGCCGCGGTTCCTCCACCGACTTTGAGGATCAATCTCCACCCTTTATTCAAGTCGGTTTGATCTAATGGTGGGCGTTAGAATTGGTGAGGATCGATGACGTGGCGATTACTTGCTCCCTACTCAAACCCTCCTATAAAAGGAGCCCAAGACTCCCTCCTGGAGAGCATCCAGCTGATTCATTCAGAGATCCAATTCAGAAGAAGAAAGTAGAACTCCAGATATCATTAGTTCTAGTATAGTTAGCATAAGTAAGATTCAAGTAGATTAGTGCTATTACTCGGGGTTCCGGATTTGTCTACGGAAGACTTGGTAAAGTTAATGTATCCTTTATCTCTTATTGTGACTTTGATCTTAATTTATATTGTGTTTCTCTTTATTATGTTTTTAGTTTATTTCAAGTATATGCATGGTATAGTTTTAGTTACCTTTGAGTTTATATATGAGTTCATAGAGCACTCAATTCAGTACTCGAGTGAGTTGAGTAGCCGAACTTTGTGAGCATGGTGCTTAGACATAGTTTTGCCTGTGGATACTACTTATATTCTGAGACTTGGTAGATCAATGTGTGTGATATTTTCTCATTGATTCTCTGTAGTCCAAGCTCGGCATGTAGGCTTAGTAGGACTGTAGTCATTAATTGAGTAGTTATATTATTATATCTCTCTTTAATGATGTCCCTTATATATAAATAAGAAGTTGATTATTGTTTTAGTGTGTATATTTTTGTGACTTGTTAATTAGAAATAAATGAGAAATCTTTCTTAACTTAACTATATATAATATTTTATGAGTATCTACTTCTCTCTGAATTGTTATGAACTTATATTACTGAATATCTTAAACTTACCCCTGTATAAGAGTAAGTGTTTAAGTTAATGATTTTATCATAAATAAATATTTATCAATACCATCCTTGCCATCTTTCCTCCTAGTGGTAAAATATAAATAACGATATCCAGATTACTCAAAGTGAAATGCTATAATGGTATATCTGTGCGCTTGCAGAATTCTTAATTTCTTACTTACACTATAAAATACCAACATTCGGTTCTTAGAAAATGGGAATCGATTGGCTCTAAAAAATTCTCAGAACTGGCCATTTCGATTGGTTTTCGGTTATTTTGGTTTGGTTCCGGTTCTAGCCAAACTAACCGAACTTTTTTAGGAGAGGTTAAGATAACAATAAGTACGTGTGTTCTAAAGCAAATTTATGCAACACTATATCCATTTTAGATAATAATAATTTAAAATGGAGCAATAGCAATATAAGAACATAAATATATAGCAGTTCAAATATGAAACATCACACATAAACCAAACATAATCTTATAAAATGCAAGTGGAGGAAGTATAATTCATGGAATTCGGTTCTTTCGATTAATCGATTATCCGAGAGTAGGAACCGAATTTTCTTCGGCTATTTAGGTTCCTCAATATTAGGAATCGATTTTTTCAGTTCTGGTCTTTTGGTTCGGTTTTTTGGTTTTGGTTAATTATGCTCACGCCTATCCAAAGCCACATTGGATTTTGGATGATGCGGATGAGAGACAGTGGGAGGGGGTGAGGGAAAGAGGCGGTTGTTTGGAATTAACACAAAACAACCTAAAAGACTACACATTATATGAGTTGTCTGTTGAGTCATCTCAAGACTATGTGGCACAACATCACACTGACTATAAGATGATACCAATGTACTTAAGACAATATGTTGGAGTTATAACCCACTCGAAGAGTAAGGTCCTCCATTTGTACTCACCAAGGCAGCTATGGTGTGTATCCTTAGATAGGAAGTTAAGCTCAATTTAATCAAATGAGATTTTTTTTATCTATCTATCTATCCCATTGACCAGGACAACATAATTAATGTGCCCTATCAATCAAGTAAGGCACAAAATTATCCTCAAATGCAAGTGAAATCGGCATTCACCCATTTCATGCTTCATTTCTTTTTACTAAAAAAAGCAAGAGGATGGAAGTTGGAAGGCAAATAATTCATCTCTTTTGGATTATTCATAGCCAAGAAATCTATAGTCTAGTGATCTTGTCTCAAAATTAGTGATTTCTTACTCCCTACCATAGGAATGACATAAGTGAAATCAGCGATAGAATATAGTTAAGTACAAAAGGTAATTCTTTCTACTTACAACTTTCTATGAGTGTAATTTATAGATGTTGAGGTAGAAGGTTTCCATGTCACATCTGTCTTCTTGTTGGAGTCCTCTATCTTGTATTTATCTTTGTTTTCAATGATGCCATCAAGCCTCATGTTGATGGCTCTAATTTTTCTAGATAGGCCGCGTCTCATCCGTACTTGAATTGTGAATGTTTCAAGACATATCATAGTAGGACGAGCCCACCTTGGGTACCTTCAGAATGCATATATGGCATATTATAAATTAGAGAAGACTCTTGTGAACCTATGTGGAGCTGGAGCAAATATAAAAGAAGCACTGTTCATAACAAAAAATGTAGAGATATTACAATGAAAAAACTAAGGATATATTATTCCAGATTTGCTCCACATCAATTGTCTGATCTGTTGCAACCATTCGGCCATCAATTTTGTGGATTGTAGGGTCATGATCAGACTGCTCTATATGATTGTCTAGTGTAATTGTTTTGCATAGCCCTTTCATGTTAATTAGAGAGGCAGTCTTCTAGAATCGTTTTTTCTAGTAGTGTATTGCCAATCTACTTCCTCCATTCCAAATTATAAGATGTTTTGACTGCACAGAGAAAGCTATGTAGTAGTTAGGAAAGCTAAAACGTCTTATATTTGGAACCGAGGAAATATTTCACGACCTTGGTTGGGACTAACATACTTGCATTGGGGTTTGGGGAGTACAATCACTTGTTGGTACTTAAAGCTCTGTCACTAGTACACAAATCTTTTCCGAGACGGATATTTTTTATTACCGAGGCGGGCATTGCAACCGCCTCTATCCAAAAGTCACGGTTAATCATGGATTAACAGAGGCGGTTGCTTTGCCCGCCTCGGTTAATCAATTAACGGAGGTGGGCGTATTAAGGTGTCCGACTCCGTTAATCCCATTAACCGATGCGGGCGTCTTAAAATGCCCGCCCCCGTTAATACCACTGCACCATACACTCATTCATGTCTATATATAATATGCTATATTTTTATATCAATATTCCGTAATCTTATATTCGATATTTTAGCTACTAAATGAACTCAAATGAAAAAACTTTTAACTACAAAGTTTTAAATCTTGTGAAGTAATACAACTTTGGTATAGGATGTATCTAAATCAGAGATATTTTGAAAAATTAAAAAAATTAAGTCTCAAAACATGTGAATTTCAAACACATATTTGAGATACTAAATGACTTTAAAACAAAAACTTGTCAATATCAAACATGTAGAGCAGATCACGCCATTAGAACTTTGTTATTAAATATGTGAACATTTGAGATCGTTTAGTAATTCGAAATTTTAAATTTTAAAATCTATAACCTTCGAACACATATTTGGGACTCTAAATATCTTCAAATTAAAAACTTTTCAACTACAAAGTTGTAGATTCTATTGAGATCTATAACTTTTGTATAGACCATGTCAACATCCGAGATCGTTTGATAATTTTAAATTTTAAATTTCAAAATCTGTGCACTTACAACAATATTTTTGGACCCTAAACAGTTTCAATTCGAAAACTTTTCAACTACAAAATTGTAGATCTCATCGAGAGCTACAATTTTGATATAAAATTTGTCTTCATCCAAGTTTATATGAAAACGTTATGAATTATTTTTTGTTATAATCATTAAGTGAGACGGACATCTTGTTACGTTCGCCTCCGTAAATCAATTTATGAAGACGGGTGCTTATAATGACCGTCTCCAAAAATAATCAATTAACCGAGGGTGTCCGCCTCAATTAATCCATTAACGAAGGTGGTTGTCATAAGGCAACCGCCTCGGTTAATCGTGGATTAACCGAGACGGTTGGCTTACGGTGTTCGCCTCCGTTAATGATTAACCGAGGCGGTTGCTGGGCCGGCTGCCTGTCCACGAATAACCGAGGCGGGTAACCAGCCCAACCGCCTTGGAGCCCAAACACCAAACGGCTTGGTTAAGTTTTTATGTATTTCTTAAAAAAAAAGTTTTTATATAGTAGTGTGTGCTGCGGATGGACGACTAAAGATTGGTGGGTACCTGGACATGTCCACATGGAGATGGTAATGATCGAGGGCGTCCTCGGCGTCGAAGACGGCGTCCCGCGTCTGCAGCGTCCAGACCCTGGTGACTTCGTCGGTGACGGCCCGGCGCCTGGTGTCGGCCTCGCGGAGGAAGGCCTGCAGCCACATGAGCTTGTCCCGGAGCCGGTGGATGTCGGCGTTCACCCCCACCAGCGCCCGGGCCTCGCCGACGGCCACCTCCTGCAGCCTCCCAACCAGAGGCCCGATGATCGCCTCCGCCATCCTTCTAAACCTAGCTGCTAGCTACTACGCGTGTGCTGGGAACGTACGTAGCTCAGCTGGCTGCCTGGGTAGCTTTCAGAAACAACGAGCTCGACAACACGCAGGTACACATTTGTGTGTGTGTGTGTATATATATATGCTACGGTGGCGTGCATGCGTGGAAACAAAATGCTTGATCTCGGGCTTTGAGTCGCTGCTCAGATAGGGATTGATTTGATTCTTTAATTTCGCTGCTCAGATAGGCATTGCTAATCGGAGGTGAAAGAGCGGCAAAGCTAGCCGATGATACCTCTCTTTGCCTGTTTTCGATGCGCTCGCGTGCTTTTCCGTCCGACATATGTGCGTGCACAGCCGGGCTTCTACATGCAGCGTAACCAAGGATGCATCTAGCTAGCTAGGTAGCTAGAACCACCTTTTGGAATCGCTTGAGTGGGTTGTGCTGTATATATTGAATATTGCGTTGAAAATAATATTAAAAAACTGTATGGGCCAAAAAATTATGGCGTGGGCCTAGTTCAAATTGTGGCCTGGGCTGATATGATCTGAGAGAAAAAAATGGGCCAAAAAGTCTAATACAATAATGGACCACGATAAAAAATCGCTCAAATATATTTGTGGCCCATTTCAAGCATGCTTGTCATATGGGCTTTAATAGGCCACATTTGAATTTTGTGACATTTTCATGATCTAACAACACAGCGCCATGTCAGCATCCGATCATATGTGGCACTTGCACACGTGTGGCAGGGTCTAAGTATCCGTGACGAAAAAATCAATGTCATATATTTTGCTGACGTAAAAACCAATGTTATAAATTAGTAACATGAAAAATACAAAAGTAAAAAAAAATTATTCGCGACACGCATTTTTTGATGTGACTGTTCATGTCAAACAGATGTCATAGATAGTGAGCTTGAGATCAGTTGTCTATGTTACGAGGAATATACAATGTCAAAAAATAGAATATCTTTTGCAGTGTCTGCCGTCGTAGTACCCGGGAGACCTCGCGCTCTCGCGGTGCACCAAGCCGACCTTGCTGAACTCGAGGCAGGGCACCCAGTTGGAGCGCAGCAGGTAGTCGATCTGCTTCAGCAGCTGCTCCGTCGACAATGGCGGCAGGTACGACAGCGTCTCGAACCTCTTGATGCCCTCGATCGGCCACACGTGTCGTTGCATTGTTGTGTTGCATGACAGCATGAGCAACGGATAGTACTGACATTTAACAAATATATAAAGAGCGAGCGAGGTTACCTGCATGCACCTGATCCTTTCGCCGTTGCTGACGTCGCCGAAGCCGTTGGTGGAGCGGCGGGCGACGGGGAGTCCGGCGGTGGACTTGAGCCCCTGGAACGGAGCGGCGTCGGTGGCCGACGACGCCATGTGGCCATCACGGAGGGAGCCATGTGTACTGTACTGCCTCCTTCTAGGTTGTGACGACTCTTGTGAGTTTGTGTGAGGCCGGCCTTCTGCCATGGCGGCAGTGGTTCAAATAACCAGCCGCGCGGCTAAGGCAGGGGAAGGATGCATGGGCTCCGTTGATGCCGGGATGAGGAAGGAATGGCTGCTGTTTGCCGCGTCCAAAACAAACAGGATGATGCGGTGGCAGGCTAGCAGCCATTGGGGGAGTGGCGACAATAAACCCTGTGGATTTTGCTTTCTTGTCTTCTTCCTTCAACACAGTTTCTTCCACGAATGGAGTAGCAGCAATGCATAGCTAGCAAATACTAGAGGACATCTCTTTTAGAACCATAGCGACCCCAAGTGTATATAAAAAGAAAATATACAGGGATCATTGTAAGCACTGCACCAATAGAGAGCCCTAGGATGATCCTGCCGTTCTGAGCTGTTACACATTATGTTAGCTTTTTTTAAGGTTCCGGGTTAAATTCCTCGCATCTCTATATAACTTTTTTTTTTGTTTAATATATATATGTTATCAGAAGCTCTTTTTATTTGAATTATAAGAAAGAAAATCTTTCTATTTAATCACCATCTCAGCCTCTTTTCATGTTGACTAATATAATGATCTAAAGTATAAAATTGACATCACCATTTCCATTATCGATTCTTATGATTCACGAGTGCAAGTACAAAATAAGCAATTATAAATTTAATGATTGCAAACGTAAGGAAATAGAGGGTGTATAGCTACTATGATAGGCTTTCTAAAGTTTTGGTGTTCAGTTACTCTATCTCGCCTCTCTCCAATCATCTTCTATTTTTATTTAATACATTATCAAAATTAGTATTTCTGTTCAATCACTATAATGATCTCTTTTCATGTAGACTAACGATCTACTGTATAAAATTGACACCAGTTGTTCCATTGTCAATTCCTTACTAGCGCCCGGACGTCCGATCCGGGGCGGTAGCGTCGAACGGTGCCCGCGCAGCAAGCAAGTGAGCGCCCCTAGCAACGTCAGACTTGCGAGCGAGCGCCCTAGCAGCGGGCCCACGCGTGCCCCGGACGTTGCCCGCGCCACCAGACCCCATGAGGGGGACCGCTCGCGCCCCCTCCCGCTTTCCATGCACGCATTCCATGTGCAACACCTCGATCTACTTTTAAAACATTCAGATGCAACATTTGCAACATACAAAAGAAGACAGATGAAACACTTGAAACATGCGTCCGAAACACTTGCAAAAGCACCCAAAAACACTTGAAAACAATTGCAAATATTACGCAATATCCAGATAAAACACTTGCAACATATGTGTGAAACATATGCAACATCCAGATAAACACACTTGCAACATACGTCTGAAAGACAGATGAAACATTGGGAACATACGCTTGCAACATAAGTGCACAACCATTGCAAAGTATGCAACATTCCGATCTACTTTTGCAATATCCGTATTAAACACTTGAAATATACATCTGAAACAACTGAAATATTTGTAACATCGACCTGCAACATGTCTGAAAATGCCCTAAAACACTTGAAACACAGCGTCGCCGGCGGCCATGGCCTACCTAGTGGGTACCTGCGGTGTCTCAGGCCTCCCCTTCCTGCCGATGGTGTGAGGTGGATGGGGGCGTAGGTGTAGGCGCAAGCCTCCCCAGGCACAGGCGCAGGCGTAGGCGCAAGCCTCCCCTATGTCCCCTTCCGTGACCGGCGAGGTGGATGGGGGGTGGCGCTAGATGTTGGTGCTCCCGATCTCTTGTGCTGGCGTGAGCTGTCGCTGCTCCGGTGGAGAAGGTGGCTGGTGAGATAGAGAAGGCCACGGCGGGCCTGAGGCGTGGTGGAGAGAAAGCAAGATGGGCTGCTGGGAGGCGTGATGGAGAGGGAGGAAGGCGGGTGGTCGCGCTCGGGCACGGTGGAGATGCTAGCCGTCGGGTCCACGGCCGCCGTGGAGAACGACGAGGCGGCGCGACAGAGCACGGTCACAGCGGAGCGCGTCTGCTGGAGCTGTGGTGATTTTTTTAGGGTTTAGGGTTTTCGGATATAAAATTATTTGTACAGTGCAAAGATAAGTAGAATTGGGATGCAGTTCAATCAGTGGACCATTGTGATAAGCTTTCTATTGGCATTCAGTTCCTCGCATATCTAATTAAATTCTTTTTTGGTTAGTACATTAACGACTCTTTTCATTTGAACATAGAAAGAGCTATTTGTGTATTTAATCACCATCTCGATCTGTTTTCATATTCTCTAATAATCTAGAGCACAAAATTGAATTGTCGACCCTTATGAGTAATGAGTGCAATAAAAATTATTTGATTAGAAAATCAATTATATAATAGTGCAAAAGTACCTAAAATAGGGAATGTTGCCATGTTAGTGGTTGGGGTTCAATACCTCGCATGTCCAAACTTTTCAAATTGACTAATGATCTAGTGTAATAACATGACAACAATTGTGAGGTTGTCCATTCTTATAAGTTACACCTGCAAGTAAAAAACAAAATATATTTTAATGAATAATTAAATATAAAATCGGGGATGTAGCTCAACTGGTAGAGCATTATGATAAGCTTTCTAAAGGTTCAGGGTTCTAACTCCTCGTATCTCCAATTAATTTATTTTTTGTTAAATACAATTACAACTCCTTTTATTGGATCACAATCTCATTGATGACTTCATATGGATGTCTAATTAACGACAATATAAATTTGAAGGTAGGAGTGCGAGTAAGAAAGCTAGCAATTAACTATAAATATATTTATAGTAAATATAAGTAAATAACAATTGGAGATGTAGCAGCTTAGGGGTTCAATTCCTCGCATCTTCAATAACTATATTTTATTCGGTACACTATCAACTCACTGTGTAAAGACGTTAGGAGTGCAAGTAAAAAAGAAAATAGTTAACTATAAAAATATTTATAGTGAATAAGTAAATAAAATTTGGGATGTGTCTCAATTGGTAGAGCATTATGATAAGCCTTCCAATGGTTTGGGGTAAAACTCCTTGCATCTCCATTTAGTAACTTTTTTTTTGTTAAATACACTGTCAACTCACTATAAAATTGACGTTAGCAGTGCAAGTAAAAAATACACTATCAACTCACTATATAAAATTGCGACAAAAAAACTCACTATATAATATTGACGTTAGGAGTGCAGGTAAAAAAGAAAATACTACGAAAGGACATGTAACCTAATGATTATATGAGTCTTAGTAGCACCATAGTTTTTAGGTTTGAATATTCTAGGATTTAAAGACGTTGTATTTTCGGTGGGCACTATATAAATTTGACGTTAGGAGTGCAAGTAAAAAAAAAGAAAATACTGCGAAAGGGCATATAGTCTAATGATTATAAGAGTCTTAGTAGCACCTTAGTTCCTGGCTTTGAATAATCCAGGATTTTCTAGGATTTAATGACGTTGTGCTTTCAGTGGGTAGGCAATGTTCCGATCGATAGCGAGGTGGTGAGTGTGCGTATGTTATGAGCGTCTGTGTTGTACCGTGTAATTCTAAAAAAATAAAATACTTAACTAAAGGATAAATATAAATATAAATTGGGGATGTAACTCAATTGGTAGAGCATTATGAT